TCATACTAAAAAAGACAAAACATCCTAATCCTTAAAAGAGTGACGAAAGTATGAGTTCAGTCTTATGAGAATGTATGGCCAAGCTTTTTTTTTTTATTCTTGATAAACCCAGAATCTGATAACCCTCCTTGACATTGCTTGATTTTAACATTATTTCATTGGGCTTTGCAAGTTGCATGTGGGCAGACTAACACCTATTGCTAGCCCATCTCCAAGCAAACTTTAGCCAGAACCCAAGCATGGGTTGATTCTTGGTTTAGACAGCACCATAGCCTAGGCTACAACTGAAAATCATGCTGCAAACCCATGCAAACAATATAAGTTTTTTAGGTCACTGGAAAGTCTAAAACCCATGTAATTATTTTATAGCATTATCATAAGGAAAAGAAATAAAACTAGCTAGACTGGTATTGAATAATTTGCATGCTTTTTAGGCTTTGAGATGTATCATTAAACAAATCTCCACTCATGCATTTCACTGATTTTGATGCTCTTGTTTTTATTTATAATAATCACAAAAGCTTTTATTTATGTCTTAGCCTTTCTTAGGGTTGGTTTGGATTCTATACCATCCAATTCAATTTTTTGGGGGATAAATTATATTGTGTAGTGCCTTTAGATAATATCCAATGAATCATTGAATCTTAGGATAGTTAGTTGTCTTATTGTAAAAAAAAAAAAAAAAAAAAAAGATAAAGAGATTTTTCAATTATGGTAATAGATTATTTTTAGTGAGATAATCGACTGTTATATTTAATTTCGAAAATATATTACTTATAATAATTATAATACAATCAATAAATTATAATTAATAATTATATGGAGATCATTAAAATTTATATGGGATCCACACTTTTAAGTAATAAACTCTTATATAATTTTTATTGTAATTGGACAATTATTGTATTATAATAAAAAATTTATAGGTAAAATGCTTCTTCCATCTCACTGTTGTAACTATATTTGCATTTAACATATATCTTTATTATTAATCTCATCATTATAATATTTAATTTTATCTAATCTTACAATTACTACTATTTTTAATATAATCCAAAATAATTCCATTATCCATCTAAATAGATCTAATTAATCTTCTTCAAGCTATCTAAAGGCCCATAGCTGACATAATTTCAGTCGCTAGCTAATGCTTAAAAGGTAGGTGATTAGGCATTTTATATGACTAAAACTAATCCTACCCTTTTGATGGACAACAGTAATAAAAGTTCTCTCAAGTAACAAAAAATTAAATGAACCCTTCAATTATATAGAATTTTTAGAAGTTCTTTTCTTTTGTTTTTCACCAACTCCTTTCAAAGATTTAAATTTAAACTTAGAGCAATTTTTAACAGATATCAAAGGCTTAATTAAACTATCTCACCGTGAAAGTCATATCTAGAAATCAAATGTCTAAGCCAATAAACTTTTAATGCAAAAGTGCAATATTTATTAGATATCAAAAGCATGTTATGTTAAGAATTTCAAATTTAATTTTGTTAATTTATGCTATCTTTAAAATGTAACGTCCAATAATATTTATAATATTTTTTTACTTTTAGACTGTAATTTTTTATTAAAAAAAAGTATATTATGTCGGTAAAATCAAAGCTCACGAGGCAGAAAACTTCAAGGTTGTGTACTTTTTCTACAGTAATAAGTGACCTAGAAGGAACCTTAGACAGGCTCTAAATAATGTGTAGTGGGCACCAATTTATCTTTCACCTTATTGAAATTATCCAAAAAAAAGTTGGGTCTACAATCTATACATTCTCATTTAATGTCTCCACCAAAGGGACACCAAAAGAAGAATCATGGGAGTTCCAAGCTATACGGTTTGTATTGGAATTAAAAATTTAATATTAAATTAATAGATTATCCCACGGTTGATTTTTTAAGAATTTTGTGATCTCTTTAATGTGGTCTTCCAAGCTTTATACTCAAATAAATAGAAAGGGTGGAAATGAGAACAAAGAAAAATGTTTTTGTCCAAAAAATGAGTTATAAAAAAAATAGATTAAAAATTTTATTTTATTTTATCTTCTTAAAATTTTATATGAATTATTGTTCATTTTTTTAGGGGTTTTTTTAGTAAAAGAGATTATGAAATGAAAAATATTGTAAATATTAAAATTTGAATTTCAAACTTATTGAATATTATTTTTAAAAATAATTATAAAATTATTTACTTTAAACTCTGTGTGTATTTCCCAAAAATTAATTAATTATTCTCCAAATTTTACAATATAAAATTTATGTATTCAAATTGTTCATGATATAGTTAGCAGCCTATAATTTTTCTTTTTATTCATCATGGGTGAGCAGACCCTCATTGATTTTATTCATGGGAATAGTGAATTGCAAATTACATGCAAGCCACACATATTAAAGGGGAACTATTCATGGACCCCTTCATTCTTGTCCTTAAGCTGGTGCAATTATTTGAAGCTGTTATTTGCTGTTAAGAATAATTCATGCACGTTTCAAATACAAACAAATCCTTTTCACATTGTTTTTCTTCAAAGATTTTGTTTCTTAGTATGTAAGAAAATCAATTTCTATTGGTCCTAATGTAGCTTCTTTGGTACAAATTTCAAGCTATTAATTCCAATTAATAAAAAAGATGTAAAATTAAACGACAACAATATGAGTATTTTATTTATATTTTTATTATGATATTATAATTTTTCAATTATAATAAAAAAAATATGTAAGAATTTGTTATTTATAAGTAAGTTTCATATAAAATTTTAATAATTTTTATAAAATTTTAAATTATAATTGATTAATTATATTATAATTATTATAAGTGATATATTTTCAACAATAATAACAACAACAATATGAAAGTTTAGAATTGTCTTGGCTAATTAAAAAGGTGATAATTTGAAGTGAAGTTGGTTCATATGTTTTTTTAAAGAGTAATTTTCAGTAGGTTTAAGATATAAATTTCAATAGATGTGATAATTTATATATTTATATCATATTTGTATAGTGTCAAATACAAAAAATCATAATGTCAAATTCGTGTTAGCATGCTTAATATAAAATTCTTTTTATTTTAATTTTTTCAAACCCATATACAATTATTGTTAAAAGTTTAAATCAATTTATTTTTAATTATTTTTTTATATTATTTTCATATCATATCATCATATTATATTTAAAATTATCAAATCTAAATTCCAATACCTACATTCTTAAAATCTATGATGAAGTGTTCATCTAATCAAACCGATAATATATGATTTGAACTTATTGACACCATTGCCAACACCAACATTGTCACATGAAACTTGATAGTTAAAAAAAGGGGATTAAAAGTTTTAATTTTGATTTTAAACTTTTTTAAGATCAAGTCAATGGGGCTACAAAACAAAAAGGATGAACATTTCAATTGGCCTTTATCATTAACCTTAAAACAAAATTGGACCCACATGGGTTTAACAACAGATTAACCACAAAATCCCATGGAAACCCACTTAGTACAATACTGAAGACCCATAATTTCATGTCTGTCTCTTGGGTGGGCAGAATCTTGACTGTATCAAACAAATATAAAGACAAGAATTTTCTTTAAATAAGAGTGTTAGCCACAAAAACTATGGGACAAGTATGATTAGTTTAAGGATTTGGACTACTTAACATTTGGATTTTAGCTGTTTTCTTGGACCATGATTAATGTTTACATTAACAAGTGAAATATGTAAAAATAGGATCATTTCAATCAATTCATTAAGTTAGTTCATTTTTTGGATTTGAGCGTTGGTAGTCCTTTATTTTTATTATCCAAAATATAAATTCGGATTTATTTGAACGATGGTAAAATTTATTCTAATAAAATTAAAAATAATGATAATAATAAAATTAATTTTTATAACAATAAAATTAAAATTAATGATAAAAATAGGTTGGATCATTTAAATATAAGATGATGAGATTATGATCGCAATTGATCGTCCCACTAAAAATAGTCATTGAGATAATTGAAAATTATATTTTATTTAAATTTAACATTAAAATAATTGACTATATTAAGATTTAGTGATTTAATGAATTTATAAAAAATTATTATTTTTATATTTTTTCATAAAATTCAATTTTAAAAAATAAAAAAAAAAACACTTTTATTACTTGATCAAACGATTCGTTAGTCTACTCTTTATCTTTTTAGTATGATATCAAATAACTATTAATTTGTTAATTAATTAAGATTAGATCTATATCTAAGTAACAAAGGCCATAAGATTATTCAATTTTGCTTTGGCTCGAACATCAAGCCACCCCATGTGAGTGCAATTCGTCCGCTTGCAAAGATGCAAATTACAAAACACAAAGGTTTTGTTGGATGACTATTCGATTGGGGTAGACGTCCACGTGTAATATGTACATAAAGCCACGTAGTATTTCCCTCGGATGCCTTTTGAAGCAGGAGTAGATAATGCAAAGAGTTAGATCTGCCAAAGCAAACAAGGGGATTTTTTGTATAAGAAATTGTTGAAAGCTTGTGGACATGGGTTTCCAAATTGGCCATTTTTGCATTATTTTTTTGTACATCAATCATCAATGTCTTTAAATAAGTGTTGTCACACTGTTAAGAACATGGAAGTTATTGCATCAATCTCTATCCAAAAGACCAAATATATATTTTTACAAAAAAATATTCAAGGTAGTTCAATTTTTTATATGAAAATAAATGTGTTTGATAGTTTAAAATAAATAATTATAAATAGTATATTTATAATAATTTTAATAAATAATTATCGATAAAATTTAAATTTAAAATTTTTTTGTTAAAAAAACTAGCATTATCACAAAATTTTTAACTTTATAAAATCAATAAATCTTTGATTTTTTTTATTAAATGGTAAAGAGTTTTTAGCTTTATTGAATATATTTGCTCTTGAATCTAATAAATTTATAAGAAATTATATTTTTATAATTTTTATAACGATGATAAATATTTGAAAATTAATTCATACATATTTTTTATTATAAAAAATTATCTTAATTTCCAAGATTTATACCCTAATTATAAAATCTGCTCCAACCATTCAAAACGAGGTCGTTTAATCCCCCCATTTAAAATTATAAATCCACAACGTCTCTCTGCAACCCACCGGCCACCGCTAATCAAGCAAACAAAGTGCTCACGCTCGTGCAAAGCCCCGTCCTTGTCGCTCTTAAACGGCACCGTATCTTATCCGGAAGTCCCAGTATACGTTGACTGTATAAAAATACGTAAATCTATTACCGTATTTCAATACACATCTGGGGTACGTCCTTTTCTCCATTTTAGATACAAGCAAAGAAAAAAACATAAAAACAGACTCTCTCAGTCCTCGCTCAGCTCAGCTTCTCTCTCTATTCCTCTATCTCTCTCTCTTCTTTTTTATTTTTTATTTTTATTTTTGCTTTTTCCACTCACCGTATTCACTAAATTTACAAACTATTTTTTTTTTTTTAAATTTGGGTTGGTTTCTTTTTCTAAAAGAGAAGGAAATTTTGGGTTTTGTTTTGGAATGTTGATGGAAGAGGTTTGAGTTTGAGAGGGATGAAGGTGACGGGGAAAGCGAGTTTGCCGGAGACATTTTCGGGGAGGAATCCAACGGACGCGGGTCTCAAGCCGACGACGAAGCGAAGGACACGGAGCACGAGGTGGAGGCGGGTCGGTGCACCGGTGGTGGGGAGGCGAAGCAGGCCAGAGACGCCATTGTTGAAATGGAAGATGGAGGAGAAAGAGAGAGGGAGACAGAAAGGCAGAGTTGATGAGGAGCTCGAGGATGAGGAGGATGGTGGCCGGAAAGGTGGTTGTCGGGGACGACGGAGGAAAGGAGCTTCGACGGTGTCTGCTAGGAAGCTTGCAGCTGGATTGTGGCGGTTGCAGCTGCCGGAGACGGAGACCCCCGGTGGCGAACACAGGAGGAGGGATCTATTAGGGTTTAAGGTGAGTTTTTAACGTTTTTGTGGCTCCAAGATCTTTGCCTTTATATATTTTTTTTCCTGTCTTTATAGGCTTTTGTTATAATGAGAATGATATGATCAAAAGTGTGATTTTGAAGTTCTGGATATTTTTCTTGTTAAAAATTTTTAATTTGATACTTATATTTGAAGTTTTAAGCTTTGATACAGAAAATAATGCTGATCTTTATAATGCCATTATTGTTCATTGTTCAATTTTTTATTTTTTATTTTTATATTTATAATGCCTTAGGTTCTGCTGCATGTAAAAAGATGAAGCTTTCAGTAATTGCTAAATATAATTGATTGATATGATTTTTCGCCCAACCAATCTGTTTTTTAATGCATTTATAATGTTTGAAGTTTATCATCATTGTATGCTATGGTATGGATTTATTTTTCTATTTATAAGAGGCTTTTCCAAGGTGGGTTTTACAGGATTTGTATGGATATTTTCATGATAAAGAGTTACACTATTCAATGGTATTTCTGTTTGCTTGATTCTCGATGAATATGTTTGACAATTTGTTTAAATTGCTTCTGAAAGTTGTGCTGCTTGCTGTGTTTATTGATAGTTTTACTGTTTTGCTTCTTGATCGATGGGTTGTATTTAAGCAATATGAGATTTGATTCATGATTTCGAACATTTTGAGTTCATCAATTTGTAATTTCCTGCAGCCTGGTAACGATTTTATGGGTGTCCCATTCCTTTATCATCACAAGGACAAAATTTATGGTTCAGATGCAAAGGATCCATTGCAGAGCTCTAGTTCTTTCTCTGGCACAAAGAATGGCCTCCCGCATAAGGTATGATAGCTTCCTTGAGCTCCGTAACTGAATCTTGAACTTTTAATGACCTCATCAATATGGAAAGCATTGAATGGAACTCACAGAGGAAACCAAACCTTTGTCATCTAAGTCATGCGGCACACGTGCCATGCAGCATGTGGTACCACATTTGGTGGTTTCCTTAAGTGGGGTTTGCTTTTTTCCATTTTGGTGATTTTTTGAAAGAAAAAAACCATTTCTTTTTGGCTCTTTCTGGCATTTCAAATGTTACCAAAGCCGAATGCTTGGTCCTAGATAAATGCAGAATAATTTAGTATTTATTGGTATGAAAATTTAATCATGTGCTGGACAGGTATATTATTTGTCTATTAAAACCTTTAACATTATCATTGCCTATGAGAGATTCTTGACAAATCTGGACAAACTAGGAGGGAAAAGAATAGAAATACTGATTACTTGCATTTATTAGTACATGAGTCAACACGGTGTTAGTTCTATCACTTGAATGAACAAGATCAAGATAAAAAATAATGGATTGCCACCAAACACTTGAACTCTGGGATAAACTAGGGAAATCACTCAATGACGGATATTTAAAGAAAAACTTAAACAATGCAAAATGAGGGCTTTGTTGCCTTTTGTTTCTTAGTTTCTTAAATTTATCAAACATGCTTGTAGCTTGCTGTAATGCATGAAAAAAGCAGTGAGAGGTGCATACTCTGTATACCGATTTCTTTAATTCCCTACCTTTTAATTGATTTCTTTACTCTTCTGATCTTAGCTGCTTTTTCCCTTTTAAGATTGAGCCTTCAATTCAATTTTCAAACTCTGTGATGGAGGGGGCAACAAAGTGGGATCCTGTTTGCTTAAAAACAACAGATGAGGTACGGCAAATTTACAGCCACATGAAGCGTATTGACCAACAAGTAAGTGCTGTATCAATTGTTTCTGCCCTTGAAGCTGAGCTAGAGCAGGCTCGAGCTCGCATTGAGGAGCTTGAGACTGAGCGCCGGTCCTCAAAGAAGAAACTTGAGCACTTCTTGAGGAAAGTTAGCGAGGAAAGGGCTGCATGGCGGAGTAGAGAGCATGAGAAAATACGTGCATTTGTTGATGATGTTAAAGCTGACTTGAACCGAGAAAAGAAAAATCGCCAGAGGCTGGAAATTGTCAATTCCAAATTGGTGAATGAGCTGGCTGCTGCCAAGTTATCAGCAAAGCAATATATGCAGGACTATGAAAAGGAAAGAAAGGCCAGAGAACTAATTGAAGAAGTATGTGATGAGCTTGCTAAGGAAATTGGAGAAGACAAGGCTGAAGTGGAAGCAATAAAGAGAGTTTCCATGAAGCTTCAAGAGGAAGTCGATGAGGAAAGAAAGATGTTGCAGATGGCTGAGGTCTGGCGTGAAGAACGTGTTCAGATGAAGCTCATTGATGCAAAGGTGGCCCTTGAAGAGAGGTATTCACAGATGAACAAGCTTGTAGCGGATTTGGAGAGTTTTCTAAAGTCAAGAACTGGAACTCTGGATGTGAAAGACATGAGAGTAGCAGAATCGCTTAGACAAGCTGCTGTTTCAGTCAATGTCCAAGAAATCAAGGAATTTACATATAAGCCTTCAAACCAAGATGACATTTTCACTGTTTTTGAAGATGTAGCTTTAGCCGAAGCCAATGAAAGGGAAATTGAACCATGTGTTGCACATAGTCCTCCCAGCCATGCCCCAAAAGTTCATATGGTGAGTCCTGAAATGAGCATTGTAAAAAAAGACGGCATTCTGACACATTCAAAGGTGTTTGTTGATCAGAATGATGAGATAGAAGAAGATGAGAGTGGGTGGGAAACTGTCAGCCATCTTGAGGATCAGGACTCAAGTTATTCACCAGAAGGAAGTGCTGCATCTGTGAACAAGAATCATCAGGACAGCAATTTCTCAGGTAGTGGAACTGAATGGGAAGATAATGCATGTCGAGATACCCCAATCACAGAAATTAGCGAAGTTTGCTCATTGCCTGCTAGACAGTTGAAGAAGGTGACGTCAATAGCAAGGCTTTGGAGATCATGCCCAAATGATGGAGAAAATTACAAGATAATCTCAGTAGAAGGAACAAATGGCAGGCTTTCAAATGGAAGGAAGTCAAATGGAGGCATTATGTCCCCAGATCGACGGTCAGGTAAAGGTGGGCTCAGCCCCCCAGACTTGGTGGGACAGTGGAGTTCACCTGACTCTGGTCATCCACACATAACCAGAGGGATGAAAGGGTGCATCGAATGGCCTCGTGGTGCACAGAAGAATAGCTTGAAGTCAAAACTTTTGGAGGCAAGAATGGAAAGTCAGAAGGTCCAATTGCGGCATGTTCTTAAACAGAAGATGTAGAACCAGATGGTGATTTCAACAGCCTAGCTTGTTCATCACGGTAGCTGAATTAGGCAACTTCTGCTGCTAGTACAAAACTGGATAAAAGATGAGGGAGCATGTGAATATGGACACCTGATTGGCCTCATGGATTTATAGATTCTCTGGTTATCCGATTCTTGCACCTTAGCTCATGCTATGCTGAGAGTTCTGTTGCATCCCTTATGTTGATATCTTGGTACGATGCTCTTGATGAAACTGTTGGACCACCTCCTTTCATCCGTTGTTGTAATCTGCCCGGGAGCCATAGTCACTCTCTTTGTAATCGAGAAAGTAATGTATGCCATTTGTACTTTATCCCTAGGATCCGAGCAAGGAAAACAAATTCAAGGTAGACTGAAATGATAATATTTTCCTCTCTAATTTTTTGTAATTTTGTTATAAGAGATGCCTCTTTGAACTTCCTATGGATAAAATAAAGGACCACAATAGTATTCTCTGACCGACTGGGTTACTATCTGTGGCCAACCCGAATAGAATAAGGATTATTTGGTTTTCAATCCGTTGGATTATATAATTACTCTTAACAGATGGTATTTATATTCTTAAGAAATATGTCTGAAATTCAAATTTCAACCTCTATTAACTCCTATCTTCAATCATCAACTGCGATCCCTTTTGTAAAAGAAAAATGGTGAAGCACTCCTAATAAACTGCTGGATTCTTGTGGCTGATAGGCTGCATTCAATACTGGATTGATTCAGAAGTTAACAGAATGAAATATTTTCTTCCTCTGATAAAATCTTACAGCTAAGAGAGAGAGATGAAACAAATCTAAAAACAAACAATCTTAAAACAGTGGCAAATATGAAATTATGATTAAGTAAAAGACTATTTCATGCTTTGGTAGTCTTACAAAAATTATTTTAAGGTGCGTTCATATGAAAGATTTAATATGGGATTTATTTGTAGAACAAATACATATTTGGCAGGTCTAATGTAAAGAATTGTCATCAGCAGGCACAATTACTCCTGTTGTGAACCAGATCATGAAGGCTTGGAAAATTGTTTTGCTTATGTCTACCCCAACAAGAAGTCTGGGTCCAACCCTGCTCACACCCACCAGAGCGGTGGCCCGGGAGGGACCCATTCAGCAAGAGAAACTTGCACTGATGACGATGATAAACTGGCAAGATATCAAAGTATTCGATTTACTGTTCTTTAGTAGGTACGTACGTGATTTAGCTGTTATGGAGGTTTATCAACCAGGCATTGCACTGAAGAAAATCTGAGCAGTAGAGGTGATAGTATACACGGTATTCGATCGTATTCATCTCCTACATTGAAGAACAACGATTATCTGCTCTGGCTAAACAAGAACAAATATATAAATTCAGAACAACTCAGACTTTTATTAAGTTCAAAATCACATTTAAGTTTACTCACTGTAGCTGCTACATGAATTGCTGGTTTCTAGATGCCAAATGGGATCACTAATTGCAATTAGATAGCTGCATCTTAACTACCCTTTTCTCTTTTCGAGTCTTAAACAAGTTCACCAAAGAAATTAGAAATGACAGCCAAATTCAAAGTCGAAAAGACTATAATCTAAAAGCTCATTTTCCTCCTTAATAACTTCGACTTTTTCTGCACAAACTCCCTTTCATCATGCCTTGAGTGCAGCAATGCATTCGATTTCAATCTTGGCATCCAACGGCAATGCTGCTACCTGATATGTTGAACGAGCTGGAGCAGGTGAAGGAAAGTCTGCAACACAAACCATGTGGGGAGACTGAATTAGAAAATCTGGTTTCTACAGATGTTATCAAGCCACCTATGGAGGAGGAAAAGTCACAAAACATTCCTCCCATTTTAGTCGACAATTTTGATGAGTCACAAGTTTATAGTAAAGCTTCATCAATCAAGAAGTAAACACCCCACATATAACTTTTGTATTTTATTTCAATGCAATGTTCAGATTAACACATGTGACAGCAGTGAAAGTCCTTATGGACAACTCGAATTTTTTAGTCAGATTTGCTGAAAATGGAAATGGCATTGGCATCCATCATATGTCTGGCCAGCAGAACAAGCTGATTGATTGTAATGCCAGATTTATCAGATGATAATTCAGGGGTTAAGTCTACTCCATTATTTTAACTCAAATCCAAATACCAAGTTATGTATATATGATTCTATGTTCTTGTTTTCCTTCGTCAACTCTGACAATGAACATGAGGTTTAAGACAAACTCACAAAACCTTATATGAAACCATTTTTGAACATAAACAGATTTTAACTTAACTATTGTACTCACATTTGGCATAGATCTCATTTACTTTCTTGAAGTCTTTCAAGTCGGCCAGCCTGCATGAAGGAGACCAGAGAAATGATAAAGATCTTATCCATTAAAGACTATCAACCCCCATCAACATAACAAACAAAATTGGCAGAGAAAAGTCAAGAAGGATCATACATAATTGTTGTCTTAACAACACAAGAATAGTCAGCACCACTAGCTTTCAGTATTTCTCCCATATTTTTAAGTAACTGTAGATTTCCATAGAAGCATCTCTTAACAACGTGTGTTCAATTCGATAATAGGAAAGCTAAAATAGCACATTTATAGGATCATTAGTTCACATATTAGAAGGTTACCTGCTCTGTCTGATCCTCTACACTGTCTGAAATGAACTTTCTAGTCTGGAATAGAAATCAATAGACATATTCAGTACCAGAGGCGGATCCAAATGGTTCAGTGGGGTGTTCATGAACATCCCCAAAGATTGAAAACAAAATAATTTGAAGGAAAATTTTTTCCACACCCCTAAAATTTTCTCTTGGACACCCTTTTCGTCAATAAATTTGATAAATCCATCAACGGTATTTTATATATATTATAGGTGGATGGCCTGAAGAAAAATCCTGGATCCGCCACTGATCAATACCTTGTGCATGTAATCGAAATCTAGAACTCAAACATTAACATATGAAGACTGAAGAACCTTCAATGAAATGTCACAAACCTCTGGAATAAGGCCAAGAACACCAGAGACAAAGAGAAGATTATTGGCCTTGATGGCCTGAGAGTACGGTCCCAATGCTGCTGGAGCTTTATCAGTTGCCACAGCCTCCTTTATCCCTACAATCAAGGCATAGACACAAACCCCAAGCGTCAAATGAAACCAAGGCCCATAAGAAAAGCAGAAATGTGACAATGAAAGAAAAGAATTTTACAGAGTAAAAAACCTATGATCAATTAAAACTAACGTTCAAGTGGAAACAGATTCACCCATTTTCAACCATTTTCAACAACAACCCATCAGAGAAAGCTCAGAATCAAACGGTAAAAAGAAATGAAAAGAAATGAAATATTCTTTTAATGATAGTCATTCTTTTTTACCAGGAGAAGTGGAAAGGCTTAAGCAAGCAAAAGGAGAGGCTTTTCTCGAGGAAGATCGCCACAAGGAAGAGCCAGCAACAACTCCAACAGCTGCCGCTAATGGAGGGCGAGTGCGTAGTACGCCCACATCGATGGTTGGAACATGGATTGATCTTAAACTACACCAAGCCATTTCACCCTTTGTCTCTCTTTCTTCTTCAATTTCTTTGTCTTTGGACCGTGTAGGTGAAGTGGAGCGAAGTGAACTGCAGTGAAAAAAAAAAAAACAATAAAATAAAAGTACTGAAACTGATGGAATATTCCGTTTTTATTTTTACCAGATTGCCCTTTGGCTGGTAAAATCCAAACCGATGATGTGCGGGATGGAAGGGTACGGTAAAAAAACTAAAAATCTTGACCCCAATATACTATACGGCCTCGATGGGTTAATGCTTCTAAATCCACTTTTTTTTTTTTAAAATATTTTTAAGTAAAATTATTTAAATATATATTTTTTTATAATTTTTCAGGTATCCATCAATTTTTAAAAGTTATAACATTTTTTGAAAATACGTTTTTAAAAGATCATAATATTTTTCGTAAATATATTTTCGAAAGTGAAAAGTAAAGTTTTATAAAAAAAATATAAAAAGTTTTATTAAAATTATTTAAAATTAATATAATGAAAAAAGTTATTATTATAAAAAAAATCATAAATTTACTATTTTATCTTTAATCTAATTAGAGTCTTATAAATATTATTCTTTTTAAAATGAAAATAGTAAAAGTAATTTTTTTAATATTTTAAAATTTATGATTTTTTAGTAATAACTTTTTTTATTACATGTATTTATAAATAATTTTAATAATTTTTTTTTATAATTTTTCATAAAATTTCACTTTTAACACTTTCGAAAATACATTTTTGAGAGTATTATGACTTCTTGAAAATAGATTTTTGAATGTTATAAAATTTGTTATAGGATTATTTTAATAATTTCAATTACAAAAATTTTTGGAAAAAAAACTGGAGTGTATTAAAAAAAAGCGGAAATGCATTTAGAATTCCTCCAATATTAAATGTTGATTTTAAATGCACTTCTATATTTTTACATCCTATTTCTTTTTTTCAAAATTTTTATTTAGATAAAATTATTTATTTAGTTTTTTATCTTAATTTTAAAACTTTCAAATATAACTTTAAGAATTGCATATTTGAAAATATTTGAAAGTTTTTAAAAAGTTACTTTTAGATTTGAAAAAAAAAAATCAATTGAAAAAATTTCTTATAGAAATTTGTAAGGTTTTGGATATGTAAATTCAAAAAATTTTAAAAGTTTTTAAATATGCAAATAAAAAATTTTTTAAGAGTTTTCGAATTTATAAATTCAAAAACTTTTAAAATTTTTTGAATTTACAAATCTAAAAATTTAAAAATATAAGAGATGGTAAGAGACAAGAGAAAGGATAATTAAATAATTTAATTTAAAAATAATTTTGAAAAAAAAACATATGAAAAGTAAAAAATGTAGTGTGAATTGAATTACCCAATCAAAATCCAACATGAGTAAAATTATATCTAAGTGCGATCAATTTTTATTCTACTAAAGCCCAATTCTAATTTTTTTGCCAGTAAGAAAATTTTAGATTTTGTTCGATACATTTTTTTTGAATTTATTAAAACAAGTTTATTCATATTGGATTTAATGAATTTATAAAAAATTATCTTTTCACATCTCTTAAATTTAAACTCAAGCAAAAAAAAGAAAAAAAAAAGAAAAACCATCTTTTATCAAAGCTTACATCCGTTGGTAACTCAATTCTTTTTTTTTTTATTTCATTTTATATTGTTGAAAATGATTTCAGTGAAAGTTACTTTTGATTTTTTTTTAATGTTTAATTGTTAAAAGTTGCAAGACAAATATCTTATTTCTTTTTTAATTAATTGTGTCATCTTTTTAATATATCTTAAGAAATATATATCATTATGCTAATCTTATTTATAAAGTTTAAAATTTTACTGTTGGTTGATGAAATAATTTCTCTAAACGTAAATATAAAACCAACCCATCTTCAAATAAAACATTTTTCTTACATTGTTAATTTCTTTTACCTTAACAAGGTAATAATTAAAAAAACTAAGAGTAAAAGTATATGTTATAGAAAAAATTAGGGGCATTTTAGTAAAATGAATATGATTCTGAAAGGATTGAGGTCAAGTCAATTCTTGAATTAATATGAATATAATACAATGGCCAAAACTTTTTCTAAATCTGTTTATTTTTTCATAATTTTTCTTAGTATTTTTCTGTTTTGAAACGACAAAAATTAACCAATGCTCAAACAAAAGTTGCTAGGAAACCTTGCAATGGTCTATATATACAACAGTTTCTTTTTGCATCACATTCCATCATTCATTTTCCTTTCAAATTGTGCATTGGCACCATTCAGAAACCACTCACCAGCTTTGTTTTTTTTTTTTTTTTTTGGTGAATTAAAAGTTTGATGATTTACAATTCCTCAGCATCATTAAAAACATGTTCTCTACACATGGGACAAGTGCCTTGCCGGCTTAGCCATTCATCTATGCAGTTTAAATGGAAGATGTGGCCACATTTGGGAAGATTTCTTGCAATTTCTCCATCCTTAAGCCCCTATAAACATATAGAAACATCTCATTTGAACTGTAATCTGATTAAAAAAGCATGTTTTTCTCATTTTTTTTGATCTTCTTGAAACCTTGATCATAAGTCATTGTTCTTACTCGTAAGCAAATTGAACAAGAAGATTCCTCCCTGATCATCTCACTGGAATGAAATTCATGCACTGGAAGCTTTTGAATGCAACATCTAGACAGACCCCTTGCTCCATTTACATCATATATGTCTGAGATTTCTCTGTATGTCGATTCTAGTGAGTTCATCTGAAATTTCATCAGGTTCCACATTAGATATAAAGTGAACCAAAATCCCAATGTTTAAAAAAACCTATAATTTTTGTTTGGCTACTGAGAATTTTACTTACTTGCCATTGATAAGCTTTTAGCACTGCTGGACTTACCCATTCGATGAAGACCTTACCATTTACTAAGCTAACTAATAAGGCTACCTGTAAACAGAAAATTAAACAAGGAATTAACAAGTTTTTCCATGTACATTACACCAGATGCATAGCTAAAAATGCAATTGTTAGAGGTAATATTCTATAATTACGTAATCAAAAGTATTATTAGATTATGATATCTATGATTGCCATATCTTATGAGATTCTTTCTTTAATCAATGAAAGACTGAAAGTCTTTTGTAAATAAATAAGGGTCCTATGTACTCTTTCATACAGGTCAGAATATTAACCTAAAAAGCAATTTTCCACTTGAATGTCACTAGTGAAGGATGAAATTAATGCAATGCTCAAATGTGGTAAATCTGGAAGTTATATCTCAGATTGCATCAGCAAATACTACTGTACCTTGGACAATGACTCTCCATCAGCCAACGATTCCAGCAATTGAACAGCTGTGATAGCACCTGCAACAGCACCAATTCCGCTCCCCTTAAAAACCCAGTTTTCTGTTGTCTGGCCTTTCATTGCTCCTACAACGGTTCCAACTATTGCACCTCCTAAAAAACCAAACATGTTTGAGTTCAAACAAGATGGAAGATAGAAACTTTGCACAACTTTCCCATTGTTAGAGACAATTAGCCAGGGTAGGCCGTGAGCAAAACTACAGTTCACTTTGTCTATGGATTTATTTTCATGGAAAAAAAAAGTCAACAAATAGAATCTGCTGCATAGGCCAAGATCAATGGTACAACTCTACATTAATATTTTGATGTAAGTGAGTATTCCAAGATGTAACTAACAATCTGCAAAAATTACTAATGTATTAATTAGCCATCTAGAAGAAACTAAGAATGCTACAGGATTTCTAGTTGAAACAGAGATTTCAATCATGAAATTGGTATCTTTTGTTTTGATGCTCAGAAAATAGGTAGGTATAACTGAAGTGACTTTTAATTTAAGTGATCAGCTCCAAATCTACAATTTCAAATTCCAAAAGAATGTACAAAACTGAAGTGTTGCCGGTGATCAGGATTCAAATCCACGGTTTCAATTACCCAAAAATGTAAAAACTGAAGTGCTGGTGACTTTATTGATGAACCCAAGCAGCTGAAAAACTCAAGGAAACATATAGTACTGTTGAACAGAAATTTGATCATAGAAAACATACCCAATGCAAAAATGCAGGTGAAAGCAGCAAGCACAGTTCTCTTCAACATGCTAATCAAGAACCCAATTCCAAGATCTCTCATCGCAGCAAAAACCCAACAAGAAACTGCTTCTCCACACCTAAATACCACCTCAGGTATGCCTGGAAACCACTCCTTTAGCATTGGAAAAGATCTAAAAAGGGGACAGAGAAGGAAGAAGAGTGAAAACGTCGCATGAATGGTTAGAAACAAAAGGGAGGGTTGGTTGTAAAAAGAGTGGGGAAGTTTGTGATGTAAATACAAGCATTTATAGAGTCAAGAAATGCAGGGCGGCATTTATGAGGCTAAGGACCAAAGCTAGACTTAAGCATGCACAAATTAGCAACGGATTTTAGATTCTCAAAGGAAATGAAATGACACTAGTAAAATGAAAGAAAAAAGCTTTAATTTGAGCTGCCCTCTATAATTGATAAATGGGCCTACTAGTTATTGAATTTTGTTATGGTTAATAATTGAATTAATGTGTGATTTAATTTATGAACTTGCTATTTTCTATGATTTGATATATATAAAAAAATTATGATTGGTTATCCGAATTTTGTTTTTGTCAATTTCATTTTATACATTAATTCTATTAATGATAAGTTAATGTAATAAAGAAAACAATTATATCATAACACGTGATATATCTTTGTTTTTTAATATTTATCACATCAATATTTTAATTAATACTGTTAATTAATAACACAAAACGCTCGACGAAAATAAAGTTTAGATTTTTAATCATAATTTTTTTTTTTATAAACTTTAAATCATTAAAAGTAATAGAGTTCAATGGTTAGATTATTTATTAAATCTAAAAAATTTAACATTAAAATTAATAAAAATATCATTATAAATAGTATCTTATCTAATTTTAATAAGTGTCCTTAAACACTATTAGCAAAAATTTTAATCATTTTTTAATAAAAAATAATGCTAAACCTTTTTTTTAATGAAAAAAGAACATGCTAAATAATCAAGGAATTAACATTGTCATGATTGTCAATCATGGATGGTATTTATGATTTTGATGATATATTTTCATTAATTAAATTTCTTATTGAGTTTCATGCTATAATTACATTATGAAACACCCTAGTACACAAGAGGTTAGAAGCTAAAACTTCTTTAAAACAAAATATTAATGGCATTAGGTGAGAAGACCCAAAATCACAATAAATTTGTGGTTTTGTAGAAGAGTTTCCATCATTTGCATGTTTTGGTCACGAGAAATTAGAAGGCTTACCTACTCTTTTGCCTTTGATGCCTAAAGTTGCTTTTAATGAGGACAAGATTTAGTTTGTGGACAATATACCAAAATCCATAATTTGAAAGAGTTAATATATTATTTTTAATGATATGATACCTATAAAAAAATTTATGATTATGTATCCGGATTTTGTTTCAGTTAAGTAACTTACATCAATAATTAAACTGTTGACTTGATAAATATTAATCAATAAAAATGTGTCACATGTTATGATATTATTTATTATTTTTTTACCATGATAGCTTACCATTAATAGAACTAGTGTAATGAAGCAAAATACTTTATAAAAACAATTTCGAATACTAGAAGTAGAATAATGGTTTGGAAATCAGATTGGAATATTCGATTTAATTTTTTTAAATATTATATAATATTATGAATTTTAGAAATTCGCAATATGGAGTAACTTTATATAATCTGATTCCGATTACAAATGAATTCAATTTTATTAGTTTTTTGAAATTTATTTTTTGTTTTTATGTATTTAATTTAATAAAATTTTAAATCTTTAAATAGATTTTATATACAATTATTAGTTTTATTTATAAAATTAAAAAAATATATAAAAATTAATAAAATATATAATTTGGTTTGATTCATTTTTTTTTTATTTTTATTTTTAATTTAAACTTAATATATATACCTTATAATTTAAATTTAAATCCAAATCAAATAAATAAAACTTGATTCAAATCAAATCGAACACTAAAATTTTAATTTATTTTTATTTTCTTAATTTTTTCTTTTATCAATACTTAAATCATGAATATTTTTATAAATATCAAATCGTGAAAAATAATATTATTCCATAGGTAAATCACATGTTAACCCAATTTGAAAAACATGTGAAGACAATAAGAGAGGTTAAAATATACCTAATGAAATTAATAAAAATAACAATAAAATAAAGGTAAGTGGGATGTTCAAGTTCCAACATGAGCCCAAAAAATGAGAAAAAAAAAAGGTTGTGTGTATCTGCATTCTATATTGAATGCTGATTTAAGTCATCCAATTCTCACTAGTCAAAACTTTTGGCTACAGACCAATGACTGTAGACGGAAGACTGAAGATTGAATTTGGGTTAAATCCAATTGGGCATTAGAGGAAGAACCCTGGCAAGTTGTCTGCAAACCATAGTCAACTGGAAATAGAGACATTGGTTGGCCATAGCCAAATTTCTACCAATGTTTAAACCAGTAGATTACATGTAATAAAGGGATTTCTTTGGCTTGTCAGTTGCCTTAAAAAAGGCAATGGGTACCAATAACAGGTTAAGCAGATTATAGGAAAATCTCAGAGAAACCATGTGCTAAAGTAAAGATCGTGGTTTTAATAAAACTTGGCAATCTAAAACATCTTGATATAAAAAAGAATTGATATAACTCAAAATTTTATCAAAAATCATGCATAAAATTAAAAAATTAAAAAATATATATATTTTTACATTAAATATAAATATTACACATAATTTTTTATATAAAATATTATAAAAATACATTAACGAGTTTTAATAAATTTTCATATCAGGTGCTGCAAAACTTGAGTCGATGGAGTTGGGAGTACGGACAATCCTGCTTAGGATGGAGCAAGTGGTGGTCATTTAAATGCATTAATGGGTTTTATCTACTAATGGATAGGTTCCCCTCGTTGATTCAGCTCCCTGATATTTTTATGTGCTTTAATTGATTCTCACCAGAATCTGTTATTGAAACCGTTACTTACCGTTTCTTGGCTTTTCACAATAAATAAGTAAATAAAACTGAAATTAATGATTTTTTAAACCTTGATTGTACGGAAATTAATGTCACATGCATTAACTATTCAAGATATTAATCCATTTGTAATATATCAACAGCACTATAATAATAGTAATGTGATTTATTAATAAATTTGATAATTTGTATATTTATATTTAATTATTAATATTAAATATATAATATATAAAAATTAAAACGTCAAACATGAAATTTATTTTTTAATTTTTATTAAATATATATAATTTTTATTAAAATTTTAAATTATATAAATTTTATATATTTTTTTGTATTATATCATCAAATGTTTTTAAATTTATCAAGTCTATTTATTAGTAAAAATATTTAATATTTAATTTTAATAATCAGGTTTTAACATTTGATAATCTCAAGTATAAAAATTATTAATAGAACATTAAAATTTTAATTTTAACAATTAAAGTTTAGTATTTGGCCGCTTCGAATAAAAAAAAAAAATCTAAAAAACGTTTGCATAAAACTACTATAGCTCATAAACTAGAATAAAGTGGTCTTTGATAGATCAAAAAATTCAATAAGTTCTGATAATTTCGTAGGCTAAAACAATTTTGTTGGTTAAAATAAAAGTTAAAAAGATGAGAGATTTTTTAATTGATAGATGGTTGTTTACAAACTGAAATAGAAAAAATATTGATAAAAAAATATATTTAAAATATATACAACAAATTAAAGATTTCAAAATGAATATATAGCTAAACATGACTGAACGAAATAAATTATATTGAGAGTTTGGATTTGCAATAAATTTACAATTTCTTAATCCATTGTCAAGCATAGTCACCAGATGGATAAAAATGGTTGTTGGAAAAAAAAGAGAGTATAGTATAGTTTATTTATGTAGCTATTTTAAAAAGATGACGTTTAACAAGTTTAAAATTTAAATTTTAACACTTACAATTATTTTTTTATTTTTAAACTACGATCTTATTTGTAAAAAAAAAGATTGACATATATAAAGATTGGTTGTAGTATTTATGTTTAATAGTGTTTTAGTAGCCAATTGTGTTTCTTATATATATATATATATATATATATATATATATATATATAAGAAATATTTAAGAGAATACTATTTAAAAAAAATCAATCAATTGGATTTATTCATCTAATTTTAAGATTTAACAAGTATATTTACAATAAATAAAAATTTGCAGTCTTAATTTTATGTAATAAAAGATCAATGACTTGTTTGCATTTTGAAGTAAAGTTTAAGAGTTTATTTGGGTATTAAACTTTATCTATTTGTATATAAATTTTTTTTTTTAACTTAATAGCCGAGGATTATTGGGTTTCATCTGGTATATCCTCTCTCCAAGTCAATTCAAGTAGGTTTATTTACATCAAGCCGAGTAAATTTATGTGAAATTACGTTCCCATAGATTCCCAGCATATTCGAATCCAAACAATAAAGATAGCACACTTTTTTTTTTATCACTTTAGCCAACCATCCGGTGATTTGTATGTAAATCTTTGATAGGCTATTAGAAAAGATATTTGATGGTTGGTAAAGCAAGCCAAAATCTATTTATGTTAGAATTTTTCTATGAGATAACTTGCTCAACTTCTTTGATACTTGCTTAACCAATGCTCTAAATAGCTGAAATAATCAAACATAGTTTTAAAAAGCAACTTGTTTGTCAACAAAAAATGGGTTTTTAGAGATGGACCGTAAGAAAGCTACAAGAAATCCTTGATTTTCATTACTTTAAACATTATTTTGAAATGCTTATCTTTTACATATGGAGAGAGAAGAACAACAGATTATATAAAAATTTATAAAAATTTTCCATTTAAATCCTAAGCAGCTTGTCGACTTGATATTAATAAGAATTGAAGCATATTCCTACATGTTGTAGAAATTCTTTTGTAAAGGTTGGGATTTATAAGATTCTAATATCCTAATCAACTCATGAGAGCATTTCCCTAAAAAAATAGAATTATAAAAAGAACAAATAATAAGAGTGTTTTCCTAAAAAATAAGAAAAAAAAAATCAAAAGAAACAACTAATGAAAGTATTTTCCTAAAAAATAAAATAACTATCAAAAGGAACAATTTAATAAATATGAAAATAAGTAATGTAAGTATTTTCCTAAAAAAATTGTAAAGCAAGTAATGGAAGTTTTTTCCCAAAAAAACTAATAGAATAAGTAATGAAAATCTTTTCCTAAAAAATAGAAAAATAATTAATAGAAATGCTTTTTTTAAAAATATAAAAATAAGTAATGAGAACGTTTTTTTTTTAAAATAGGAGAACAAGTAAAATGAATATTTTCCTAAAACTAG